AAGAAACCAGGTAGAGACGTTCGAGGATCAGATATATACATAAGAACATCATCGGCAAATAGGGCACATTTATGAACCCTTTGACCACAGATAACACCCGATATAGAGGAATCAGCGCGAATAGCAATCGCAAGAGGTTCCATCGCCAATGCAAAGAGCAACGGAGAAAGAGGACATCCCTGTCTAGTTCCTCGCTCTATCGAAAAAGGAACTGATTTATGTCCACGAATGGATACCTGAGCTGACGGGGTAGAATAGAGGGCCCGCAACAACGTCGTAAAATAAGGGCCAAACCCAAACCTGTCCAACGTTTTAAACAAATAATCCCAGGACAGACTGTCGAATGCCTTCTGAATATCCAGTGACAGTAGAAAAACATCCCTTTGCGACGATCCATCCCATTGGACTGCACAGCTGACAGCAAAGCTATAGTCCGCCTAATTTGGTCCGATGTTTGTCGACCACTTATGAATCCTGATTGGTCATCATGAATGTATAAGGCCAAGAAGTTATGGAGCCGTAAGGCCAGGATTTTAGTAAGAATCTTAAATCACAATTAATTAAAGAAATAGGCCGGTAATTGGAGACCATAGCGGCATCCTTGAAAGGCTTGGGAATGACACTAATGAATGCCTTATTTTCCTCTGGGAGAACCACACCCCCCCTCCCGCAAATAATTAAAGTACAGGGCCATATGGGGTATCAGAATGTCCGGGAAAGCTTTATAGTAAGTATTAGGAAAGACCATCCGGTCCCGGGGCCTTGTGAGAGGCCAGGGATTTCACCGCATTCCCAACCTCTTCACAGGAGATAGGTTGTTCCATTAGCTCCCTATGTGCCTCCTGGAGGGGGGGAAAAGGAGATAGACTCCAAAAAAGCCTCCAGAGAGGAAGAAGAACAGCCCCCCGTGGGCGAACTATAAAGCTGAGAGTAAAAAGACTGAAATTTGTGGAGGATCTTACCCGGGTCCTGGGATAACGAACCATTGTCCAGTCTGAGCTTGGGGGAGGGCCGTCTGGGAGTGTCTAGGAGTCAGCTTGCGTGCCAACAAGGTGCCAGGTCTGTCCCTCCACGTAAAGAATTTATGATTAGACCACGAAGTTGTTTATCCGCAGTGGTAGTAAGACATAAATTAAGTTCCAGTCGGGCCTGGTCAAGTTTAAGTAACAAATCAGAACTGGGATGATGTTTATGTTGAGCAACCAGGTCAATATATAACTGAGTTTTAGTAGCAAGTAGGTCAGTTCGGGCCTTTTTTAAACGAGAAGAGAGTTGAATAATATAGCCCCTGACTGAGGCCTTATGAGCTGCCCAATTAATCGCCGGGTTCGTGTCCTCTGCTTTATTAAAATCAAAAAACATTTGTAGGTGCGATGAAATTTCCCGACAATGAGATGGATTACCCAAAATAGAGTCATTAAGACGCCAATGAAAAGCCGTCTTACCAAGAGTCTCGGACGAAAAGGTGATAGAAACTGGGTCGTGGTCAGACCAGGGCGTGGAAAAGATTTTAGCAGTGACAAGTTTGGGGAGTGAATATGTATGAAGAAAAATATGGTCAATGCGAGAAATAACTATCATGAGCCCTGGAGTAGTGGGAGTAGTCTCGGGAAGTAGGATTAGCCTCCCTCCATGCATCAATAAGATCATAGCGATATAAAAGTTGAGCCAATTTACGGCTCCGTCTAGAAGGAGGTTGAAGCGTGGCGGTTTGGGAACGATCCAGAGTCTGATCCAATGCTAAATTAGAGTCACCAGCTAGAATAACGTCACCCTCAAATTCTCCTACCAGAGTGCTTAGCAAAGATTGGAAAAATTCAACCTGATTGGTATTGGGGGTATAATAAATTATAAAAGTGATAAGGTCGCCTCCCAAGTGGCCTTTCACCAAAAGATATCTCCCCTCCTTGTCCCGGATAATTTTAGAGTCAACAAAGGACACTCGACGAGAAAAGCAAAGGGCCACCCCCCCGCTTTTTCTCTGTGGCATTAGCAAAAAAGCAGAGAGGGTAATTTTTATGAATATAACGTGGAGAGAAGGAGGGTGGAAAATGAAAATGAGTCTCCTGTAAGGCAACTATATCCGCCCCAAGGGAGTAGTATGAGCTGAAAGCCTGTATACGTTTGGATGGGGAATTGAACCCCTGAACATTATGAGAAAGGAAGCGAATTTCTCCGCTAGTGGACCGTACGGAAGACATGACAAATAATTATGGAACTAAGCAGAATAAAGACCCCTCGTTCCTTAAAAGTAAAAAGATCCCTATAAGTCCCTAAATGTCGCCAGCTGACCCCCCAAAAAATCAGAAAACAACAAAAAGAAAAAGACAGAAAAAAACAGAAAAAAGAAAAGAGAACATTCGGATCACAAAAGTCCAAATGCCAAGTGACCGCGGTACACAAAACAGTATCAGAAAATGAAGGAAACAATGTACCAGGAAATACAGAGCAATAGCCCTGCGGTGGAATAGGTCTGCCCAGAGAAACATTCCCGGGGAAGAGTCTTCCAATCAGGGAGAGCGCAAAGACACTCTCCGGCACTAACAGCAGTTACAACCCAATAACAATAAATCAAACGCACAGTGCATTAAACAAAAAAACAAAGCAATTAGAGCCACTGAAATGATATTCAGCAAACAAATGTAATTAACATCCTAAGTCCCACCCCCAGCCCATCCCCCCAAACCAATATAACAACAGCGGCCAATGCTCCGAAGAGCCACAGAAAGGCCGCCATCAACGAACATATTCCAGCGAAAAGTCCCCAAAAGAACACAAAAGTTCAAGAAGTCCACCCGGGCGGATTCCGGGACCCCTTCTTCTTAGACGATGGAGTAGTCCACAAAGGCTGGAGCGGCGGAGGTCGAGAAGCCGATCCCGTGGGAGAATGGGACGTCGGACTGCGAGATATAATACCCAGCTGAAGCAGCAACTCCTCGCCATCCTGGAATGTAGTAAACCCATAGGACTTTCCATTAAGAGTGAACTGCAGACGAAAAGGGTAGGCCCAACGATATTTAATGCCCTTTTGAACCAAGTGAGAAAGAAGTGGCTTGAGGGAGCGCCGCCTCTGGATAGTGGCCGACGAAACATCAGCAAAGATTTGTACCTTGTGCCCTGCAAGCTCTATATCCGGATTCTCCCTGCCAAACCGCATAAAACCGCTTCCTTAACCTGAAAAAAATGAGGCTTGACGATGATATCTCTAGGAGGCCCCCCTTGCCGGGGGGGGATCAATGCCCGGTGAATGCGATCAATCTCAAGATGAAGATCATCAATTGCAGGCATAGCGGACCGCATGAGGGTATGTGCGCAGCTAGTAAGCTCCTTAACCGACTCAGGAAGACCTCGAATGCGAAAATTGTATCGCCTAGCCCGATTCTCCAGGTCATCAATTTTAGAATACGCCTCCTCCAGGCGATCTTGCAAGTCGGTGATCATGTTAGAATTTTGGGAGATACTTTGGACTGTCGCATCAACTTTAGCCTCAATACAGTCTAAACGGTGGCCCAAGGCCTGAAAATCCTGCTTTAAATCCGCCGCCAATTTTGAGGTAGCTCTGTCTAATTCGCGTTGCAGCAAATCTGCGAATCGAGCTATCAAAGTCGCATCACAAGAGTATAGAGGCGGGTCAGGAGGAATCGTTGGCGAGGAAGCCGGGCTGTCATCAGCGGGATCTGGACCGCTATGCTGGCTTGAAAAAATGGCAGCTATGTCGCTGCTCAAGGGCGAGGATGCAGGGGAGTCACGGCTCAATGGACAGGCCGAAGCCTGGGACTCTAGTGGCACAGGGCTGGAGGATGACTGGGGGGGCTGCAGGAAGTCACTCACCCCACCTAGCGATGCTGCTGTAGTCCTCCCTGGCCCAGCGTGGGACGAGGAGCCCATCTTCTCTCTCCGAGGGAGAGGTGCTGCTGTAGGAGAGGCAGAGGAGACCCAGATAGGCAGGGGGGGGCCCCGGGGGTGAAGCGGCACTATGCCCTTTTATGGGCTGCTGTCAGTGCCGGAGATGTGCGGAGCTAATGCCGGGACATCCGATCCCGGCGGCCGCGCATGCGCACTCCCCCACACTAGCCATTTTAAATGACGCTTCTAGAGGCATCTGCATTTTTTTTTTTATGCCCCTTAATATTAGCCTGTGTGTCCACACACACATATGCATTTAGAGGCAGTGAAAAAAATCTTGCTGCCAGCGTATTTAGGTGCAGCAACATTTTGGCAGAAAAAATGTCTGATGTACTTAAACATGCGTAAACACATCTAAACTCGCTTAAGCGCTAGGCGCATCAAGTGCTTGGAAGTTCACTCATTTCAGTGACCAGAAAAAATGATTATTCTTGCCAATGAACTGAATAAACACCCAAGTGCTTGACGCACCTAAACGTGTATGCAAAAATGTGGCTTTAGGCACGTTTTTTACACTGCTTTTCTCCTGCCAGGAGAAAGGCATTTAGAAAAGCTGGGTAAACACCCAATGTGCATGAGGCCTTAATATACTATTTTTACTACTTCTGACATTTGTAAGACAGTATCTGAAAGCGTTATCCTTTTTAATCATTTGAAATAACCCATCAAAACAAAATTTACATAAATTTCAACCTGTCTGAAAACTGAAGGAATCTGGAGGAAGATTAATTAAACTGCATGTGTTACGTGTGAAAATTTTAAACATACTGTATATTTTTATGTACTAATGAGCAATAAATATGTCTAAGGGAAAGGGAATGATACTAATTTCCAACCAGTCAATTACTTTGAATGTCTTTAACTCTGTAACTTGTATGTTATGTGTAGCTAAAAATGACTGTGCTTTATGTAATGCTTGCCACATGCCGGCTTGTTATATGTTAAGTTGTAACTTTGTGAGATGGAAAAGCTTATTTTGCCTTCTTGTAATGTGTCGTGAGTCTGGAACTGTCTAGATCTTATCTGGTATTAGATGTGTCCCTTGTTAATATGATGTAGTGCTGTTCATCATTCCAAGTCTTTTGTTCTTTTAGCTGGAAGCAGAAGCTGTTTTCCGTGCCATAACCATTGCAAGCCAAACAAACTGTCCACTATATGTGACCAAAGTGATGAGCAAAAGTTCTGTAGACCTCATTTCCCAAGCCAGGAAAAAAGGTGACCTATAAAAAACACAATCATATTATCTAACCACTAAAATTTGCATGTTATATGTGAGGACTGCTGTAAAGAAAGATAAGTAGGTAGACATTATTCCTTCCTATTATTATGTAAGTGGGTTACTTCCAGAGCTTAAGAAAAAATATGGTTTAAGTTGACAGTCCTCATTCTTAGAGCTTGAATTTGTGAATGATCATTGATGCCTTACCTTAATATATACACACATGTATGTAAAGCTTTGAAATATAGCTTTACATATGCACATCATCATGGAGTTTGGCTGACCTTTTCTGAGGAGCAGGACAGAAGGTAGAGTCCGCAGACAATTTATTTTATTTACTACAGGTACTTATATAGCACCATCAATTTAGTCAGCGCTTTACACCACACACACACACACACACACATATATATATAAGTGTACATTTACATCAGTCCCTAACCCTCAAGGAGCATACGATCTAAGGTCCCTAACTCACATTCATACATACTAGGGCCAGTTTTAGACAGGAGCCAATTGACCTACCAGCGTGTGTTTTGAGTGTGGGAGGAAACCAAAGTACCTGGAGGAAACCCACACAGGCACAGGGAGCACATGCAAACTCCAGGCAGGTGGTGCCATGGTTGGGATTCAAACCCTAGTACTGCCAGACAGAAGTGCTAACCATTTAGCCACTGTGCTGCCTACAAATGGTCACAGCCAACAGCAGAGAGAAAATAGATGGCTGGTTTAGGTGCAGACAGCAAACTCCAGGTTTCAGAAAAGTAAACAAACCTATGGCAGACAATAGTAGAGGTAATAAGCCTGATGGTCAGGATGAGTACAGAGAAGCTGGGTACAAACACAGTCCAATCAATACACAGGAATAATTCAAGGCATGAATGGACAGTTCTCTGTCCAGGGCATGAGCAAACATACAAGCCTGGACCGTGTGCAGGTTTGAAGCTGTGACCTCTCTTTAAAGTCCACTAATGAGGGCAGGTAGCAGCAGGTATGCACAGCAGAGGCCTACACTGCAGTGCCAAAGTAATGTCCAGCAGATGGCAAAGTTTTAAGACTGATCTGTGCATACAGTACATGCTAATATACCATCATTTTCCATTGCTTTCTCAATGTGTAAATTACATCTTGGCACAAATCTTCATTTCTTTTGTTAAACAAGACACTGTTGTCTTCTTTTATTAATCAAGTTGCAGTAGGCAAATTAGTACTCATTTCTCACATTTGTTCAATTTTCAGGCAATGTTGTATTTGGTGAACCAATCACAGCTAGCCTGGGTACAGATGGAACACACTACTGGAGCAAGAACTGGGCTAAAGCTGCTGCTTTTGTAACCTCTCCACCTCTCAGCCCTGACCCCACCACTCCAGACTACATCAACTCCCTGCTGGCTAGGTAAGAATGGGATATATGACTCAAAAAACACACCCAAAAACACAAGGCAGGTGTGTTTTTTTTTTTTTAATGCATTTTTTATGTGTTTTCTATTCATTTCAATGGGGACCTGCATTTTTGGTGCAGTTTTGAAAACAGCACCAAAGATACAGCATGTGGGACTTTTCAGAAAGCATTGCACCCACAGTGCAGTGGTGTGAATAGTCCCATAGGAGATTGTGTTTTTGGTGTGTTTTTAGCACATTAAAAACGTATCAGTGTGAAAAAATTCTAATGCCTGGTTCACACCTACAGTATGCAGGTTGCAATTGTTTATTCCCAATGTGTTTTTTTTGCATATGTGTTTTTGATGTGTTTTTAATGTGTTTTTGAGAGGTGTCTGTTTTCTTGCAGGAAAAAACTGCAAAAATGCAGCAGAAACACATAAAAATGCAAGTACTGTATTTGGATGCGTTTCTGTTGAGGTTTATGGAACCAAAAACACAACCTACTGCCTGACCCTTTCTAAAAACCACACCAGTGGAAAACACACAGATGTGAACATGACCCATAGGAAACCATGCTAAATGAAATGTAGTGCGTTTCTGCAAAACTGAAAATGCACTGAAAAACACATAGGTGTGAACCAGGCCTAAGGCAGGTACATATACATGCATGCACTAACAAGGACGGGTCTTGTACTGATTGCACACAGAATAGAAACCAGACAGTGGCGCAAATCACTGATATTTTACTGTACAGCAGTAATAAAAGTGAATTGCTACATTTTGTTCCTGAATTGAAATTCCATAATTATTACAAAAAATTGATCTTGTACAAATACTGTAATGATTTTTTAGTAATCCCCACTTTAGATTCCTGCATGCTTTTCTGGGGATATTACAGACATGTTTTTTTCTGCTGATAGTTTAGAAGGGAAGTCAAATCCGAGTTCTGCAAGATGGCTAAAAGCCAATAACTGTATAGGATTCAGCAACATGCTGAGCTTTTCTCATTATGGGGTTAATTTATTAACATGATGAGTTATTTTAACTGCGTTCACTAATTATCTACATGTTGTAATCACATACATAAATATTACATTGTGAAAATATTGGGAATTCTTCTTTATGAAATGTTATTTTATCTCCCCGTTGAATAGACCTACTTTTTGCTTTTCCAAATAGTTATCTCATAGATAACTACCACTATCCCAGATGCTAGTGGTATTCTAAGAAGCAGTAACCTGTGTGATATAATTTAAGAATTTACTTTCTCATACAGAATACTGATAAAATAATTATTTAACCACTTCAAGTGTGGACACTTTCACCCCCTTCCAGTCCAAGCCAATTTTCAGCTTTCAGCACTGTCACACTTTGAGTGACAATTGCGCAGTTGAGCAACACTGTACCCATATGAATTTTTTTATCTTTTTTTTTGACAGATTGAGCTTTCTTTTAGTGGTATTTTATCACCATTGGGTTTGTTATTTTTTGCTATAGAAATGAAAAAATACCAAATATTTTGAAAAAAAATCATTTTTGCTTAGTTTTTGTTATAAAATGTTGCCAATAAATAATCTTTCTTCATAAATTTAGATCAAAATGTATTCTGCTACATTTTTGGGGTAAAAATACCCCAAAACAGTGTATATTATTTAGTCTTTGTGAAAGATATAGAGTCTACAAACTATGGGATATATATTTGAAAATTGATCAGTTGAGACCCTAAAATGTTGGACACTGGTATGATGTATGGCAGTGATCAAAACGCTGGTATGGGGTATGGCGGTGATCAGGACATTAGCATGAGGTATGGTGGTGATCAGGATGCTGCTATGGCAGTGATCAGAATGCTGATATGAGGTATATTTGAAAATTAATCAGTTGAGATCCTAAAATGCTGGATGCTGGTATGACGTATGGCAGTGATCAGAATGCTAATATGGGGTATGGCGGTGATCAGAATGCTGGTATGGGGTATGGCGGTCATCACAAAACTGATTTGGAGCATGCTGGTGATCAGGAAACTGGTTTGGAGTATGGCGATAATCAGGACGCTGGTATGGGGTATGGTGGTGATCAGGACTTTGGTATGGCATATTGGGTGATCAGGATGCTGGTATGGGGCATGGTGGCGATCAGGGTGCTGGTATGGGGTATGGCGGTGATAATGGTGCTTTAATGGTATATGGCGGTGATCAGGGTGCTGGTATAGCATATGGCGGTGATCAGGGAGCTGATTTGGGGTAAGGTGGTGATCAGGACACTGGTATGGCGGTGATTAGGACAGTTATTATACAGTATTATACAGTATTTATAAAGCGCCAATGGTTCGCTCAGTGCTGTACATTACAAAGGGGGACAGAACATGTGACAGAACAATAACAATACAATACAATGCAAAACATGAAGGGATTGAGGGCCCTGCTCTTTCGAGCTTACAATCTAGGAGGGAGGGGATAGTGGTACAGGAGGAGATAGCTGTGGGGGATGGAGTGGTAGGAAGAGTGGAGGAGGTCGGCAAGTTAGCAGGGGGTGGGGTAGGCTTCCCTAAAGGAGTGGAGAGTAGGTGATAATCTGATGGGTTGGGGCAGGGAGTTCCAGAGGATGGGTGACACCCTGGAGAAGTCCTGGAGGCAGGCATGGGAGGAGGAGACAAGGGAACTAGAGAGAAGGAGGTGTTGTGAGGAGCGGAGTGTGCATGCTGGGCGGTATGATGTGTGGCTATGTTATTGTGTGCACTGGGAAAGGTATAACAGGGCTGGCTGTATTGTTTACTATAGACTACAATGAGCAGTGATGAGGGACACTGAGGCAATAATCAGGGACACTGGGGTGGCTGACACACCAGTTTGTGAGCGTACAAGCATCCTGACAGGCTGCTGCACACTCACAAACTGCTGCATTGCTTCTCTCTGCTCTCACAGTGAGAGTAGAGAGAACCGATTTTTACTTTATTTTTCAATGTTTACAGTGTGAGTGCTGTGATTGGTCATAACAGTCACATGGTAGAACACGATGTGAACACCTGGACACAGCAGTAATGTGATCCACATTAGGATTGCCAGGCTTCTGGGTGCACGCTCTGTGAGCCGTGCAGGAGCCTCCCATGCCAGCTGACGTGCAGGTACATTAGCCCACATTGGCTATAGGCAGTGAGCGAACGGCAAGAGGTTAAAGTAACCTTGTCACCAGAGCTTTATTTCTCAGAAAGTAGATGCAGGAACTCAACCACAACCCCCCAAAGCCCCCCCCCCCACACACACAGCCTTCAAACCGCATCAAATAGTGGGTATGGTCAGGGTCGTTTCACTAACAGTGGAAATGAAAGGGGCATTAAATACCAGGAGTGTATTACATATAGAGTGCAGAGTTCAGTGTGGTTACACAGAGTGCAGAATTCAGCGGTGTGCTACATGCAGAGTTTGGGGTTGTGCTACATACATACTGCAGAGTTCAGGGGTTTGCTATATGCAGAGTTCGGGGTTGTGCTACATACATACTGCAGAGTTCAGGGGTGTGCTATATGCAGAGTTCGGGGTTGTGCTACATACATACTGCAGAGTTCAGAGATATGCTACATGAAAAGTTTGGGGTTGCACTACATACATAGAACAGAGTTCAGGGGTGTGCTACATGCAGAGTTCGGGGTTGTGCTACATATATAGTGCAGAGTTCAGGGGTGTGCTACATGCAGAGTTCGGGGTCAAAAAGCACTGTGTGCTACATATATAGTGCAGAGTTCAGGGTTGTGCTGTATGCAGAGTTCGGGGTTGTGCTACATACATACTGCAGAGTTAAGGGGTGTGCTACATGCAGAGTTCGGGGGTGCTGTACATACATAGTGCATAGTTTCACATCCAAGGACTGGTAGGCTGCATTATATTACATTTTTTGTTATTTAGAATCAGTGAGTTGAGCACTCACCCACTGTCATTTTGGAGTCTGAAAATATCTCAAAGTAGCATAATATAAGATTCCAGATTAGTAAATATGTTTTTCCTGAGCTGCTTTTTACAGAGACATAAAGTTTGGTTCACCCAACACCAATTAGCAGTGAGCTTATGTTCATAGATTGCTGGTATGTTGATATTCAGTTGTATAATCACCTTTCATACATGTACAAATTAAAGATAACTAGCCAAGAACAAAAGCTTGTGTTCCAGCATTTTATTATTTTTTTCATGGCAGATTTACTAATTTAGAGGTTAATTTACAGAAATGATGTAAATACTCCTATCAGTCCGTTTCAGAAAAGCTGACAATCTAATCTTTATGCATTTGAAGTAGGAGACAGGGTGAAAAGTAAAACTACTTTAAATGTAAAACTTGTGACTCCTGGGTTAAACCAACGTACTAAGCTCTCTGGTGGAATGTGAATGACATCATTAGAAATTAATGTCTGCAGTGAGAAAATAGAAAGTCATGCAGTTCCTCTGAGAACAGGCTATGAGGTATTGTTTGCTAGCAGAAATTTGACACGCTTTTATCATTTCTTGAGGATGTCTGTACATCTGCAGCCTTTGGACAAAGTAGGCACAAAGTAGGCTAGTGTGAAAGTTAATCAGTGCTCTGCTACCACCTACTGATTACTTATAATATTTGTTTCATGACCTATAAAATTTCAAAATGTGGTTTGTTTTTTTGTCCATTGAGGGATACAGGACATTATCTACTGTCAGGTTATACTGCCACTTACAGGAGGAACGGACACTGGATGTTTTGGCGGGCCCAGGATATCCATTCATTTTTCGAGCACACCTACGTTTTTTGCTATTGTCATATTGTCATAGGAGAATTCACATCTTTTCTTGAACTCAGCTAGAAAAAACCCTTAGCATTTTTTGCTAGCTATTCTCTTTTAAATTGTTTTCTTCAGTCCAGATTGTGTGCTACATTGCTACTTGTGTTGGTTTCTATATGAGGGATATATGATTGGCCTTTCTTTCTGCCTAGCTTTGGAGTACTGTACCAAGGTCCCGCAAGACTGGACATTGCAGGGATAGTCTGGAAGTGACCATCAGGCACTGGATTCCACGTTAGATGCTTTCCATACTTGACTGGACATTGCAGGGGTAGCCTGGAAGTGACCTTCGGGCACTTGGTTCCACACTAATTGCTTTCAATAAACCCTCTGGAAACAGGTTGGTTGCAGAGTGCCACTGGTTTGCCCTTTCTCGAAATACCCAGTTTGTGAGTAGGCCAGTCGGGTAAAGTACTGGGAGTTACCTCACTATCTGCACCTATGGGCGCCAATGAATTTTCTGTTTTATACCCAATCACCACAGAAGGAGCTAATGCTGAGGGATGGAATGCTGATATAATTCCCTTGGTGCAATGTCGTGTATATGCACTCTGCACTCTCTTTCCCGTCATTCGCACCAATGGAAGCATTACCCCACTGCTGCTCCTGCCTTCTATGTGGAACTCTAATCTCTGGTCCATTTCTATTGCCTGTCTATATTCACCTGTGGCCTGCTAACCCTCGGTTACCAGCAGACTGGGTTTGTGAGTACCTGAGGCTTTGTTTTGTACTCTGAGCTAGTGGCATCACTGCCACACAGTTGTAACATGTCTGTAGCTAGATACAAAGGGAATAGTTCCACTGGAGTGGGTAACCCCAACTCGCGCTCTCCTATAGATTCTAAGAACAATGTTTCTGTGCATTCTGTGCATTTTGAGGGCACTGAAGTCTGGAATCTTGTGAACCTATGGTTATAGTTCTATCTCATTGGAATCCCATTAGCTCCGTCAGATATGGATGAGTCCCCTTACTTGCCATCAGGTGCCCCTACTGCAATCACACAAAACTTTGTGGCCAAATTTAACCAGATTTAAGGCACACTTCCTTGCCTTCTCCCGCAGAGTAGATTTTTGACCTAACTGCAGACTTAGAAGAGGCGAGGCCAGTAGACGCAATAAATATCTCTGACTCAGATTCAGGAAGAATCAGTCTTCTGCCATTACATACCGAATACAGATATATGAGACCATTTCAACCCTTATTGATGCAGTACCTACTGTTCATCTGGAGGATTGGCCTGTTGTTTCTAGCCTTGAGTCTTTCAGAACACATTTAGTTGCAAAAACCTTTACACTACACCTGGACTGGAGCACCCTAAAGTGTCATGGACCCCACCTGTGCAGATTGTGGGTTGCAGGTATTACCCATTTCCGTTTTTTTTTTTTGGCCCTGTTAGTGTTTGCTGCTGGTAGTAGATTACTTCTTTTGTCCCTCAATGAATAAGAAAATACGATTTTTTTGATTCACTGTAACATCCTTTTCTTTAAGTGCATTGAGGTACACAGGACAAATCCCTCTGTGGTTATGCTCATGCCGTTGTTACTATTTGCAACAAACCGATGTTTGCAAGGAAGAGAAGGGTTTGGGTTTATCCTGGACTGGCCTAATAGTTTTTTTTGTGTACCACTGCCTCCTGTAGGCAGCAGTATAACCCACCAATAAATGTCTTTCTTTGTCCCTTAATGAACCCCAAAAACAAGATTTCTCTTACGTTCATTGACGGATACAGCTTCTTCTTCTTTATCCATGACCAAACAGGGTTTTATAGCCCCACCTACAGTAGTACTAGGCAGAAAAAAACTTGGCACCTCCTATGGTCAGTCCCCACTGGTTATAAAACCTTCTCTCTGCTATAGGCCTCTAGTCATTCTGCCTAGAGTCTTCAGAAGTATGGAATTGTTGTCCTGCTCCTGTGGTCCCATAGCTTTTTCTTTCTTACTTTTCTTTTGTTCATGGATAATCCAGATCCAATGGTCACCCCAGTATGATCAGCGAGCGTGTGCAGACTGCTAGCTCTGCACTGTGACAAAGCCACATCTTGGAACAGGGCGGCTAGCAAGTTAAACGTCTTGCAGGGCACATATGGCCGGGTGCCTATAGTCTGTGTCACAGTGTTACCCCTGGCCAACAGCCCCCCACTTTGGTGGAGAGAAGGCTCTGTCATGGAAGCCTTACCCGCACACTCCGCTGGATTGATAAGTAATTGTCCCCCTCCTCCCACTGGGACATGGCGCAGGTACTCCCTGGGGTGGTCAGCGTTGCAGGGTCCCCTCCACCCCCCTCAGCCCCAGACCTTGGTGGTATCCATTCCCTATGCAGCCCCTCCACCCCCCCTCCTTCCTGCACATGGGCCTCACTTGCCTGCATCCATCCTGCCTGATGGTACAGTCCTCTGGCTGCTTGTGGAGGTCGGATGTTGCTGGTGTGGTGATAGCCCATGGGGATATCTCTCTTCGCCTTCTATGTGAGATGGGGGTAGTTGCCTTGTATGTGGTGGGTTCCTCAACTGCTGCGTGGATAGAAGCCAAAGGAAATACCAGTCATGCTAGTGGCTATGGTCTGGCTTTGCCATCGATGGTACACCAGTGTAGTGTGGGTGGCAATAGATGCTTCCTGGCAGCAGTCTCTTTGGGGGAATCTTCTATCCCAGGGGGCATTTTTTTTCCCCCCAGCCTTACCCTTGCTGGCTTTGACAGTATGGCTATTGAAAGTCAGGGTCGGTAGGACAGGGGGGTATCTGGCCCGATGTCTCCAAATGTGTTAGGGGCTCGTAGTCTACTTCCCGAAAGATTACCATTGCACATGGAAAGCTTATATTGTGTGGAGCTTGGGGTTCCGTCCTCTTTCTCGTTGACTAAGGTGTTGACTTTCCATCAACGTGGCCTTGATAAGAAGCTTGCTTTTTGTGCGATCAAGGGTCAGTCTGTTTTTCTCCAGCGTCCTTTGGTCAAGCCTGTCTTTGGTTTGCACATTTCTCCAGGGGGTTCGTCTTGTGGTGCCCCCTTTGCGCTCCCTGTTGCTGCCATAGGACCTGCATTTGGTAGTGTTGGCTCTTTATTAGCCTCCTTTTCAAGAGCATTTGGGATATTCACTTGCTTACGATCCTGATGAAAGTTGGATTCTTCATTGCTATCACTTCGGCTTGGAGGGACTGGAATAGGCAGCTTGGCCTGTGTGCTGCCTTATCCAATTTTGCTTAGGACAGGTGATGCTTCGGCCTACCTTTCCTTTTCTTCTGAAGGTGGTGTCGGATTTCGACTTGAATGCATACATTGTCCTTCCTTCTCTGTGTCCTCAGCCGACACACCCTAAGGAGGTGGCTCTGCACTCCTTGGATGTGGTTCGCTTGCTTTCCTGTTATGACGCAATCCACCAGGGAAGTTAGTGCCTCCTGGGTGCTCCGACATCAGGCGTCTGTTCCTCAATCTTGTGAAGCGGCAACCTGGTCATTTGTGCACACGTTTACTATGTTCTATACAGTTGATGTGTTGGAATTTATTAGTTTTAGCTGCAAGATTGTGCAGGTGGCTATTTAGAATTCTTGGGCACCCCTTGGGGTGGTCCGGAGTGTTGGCGTGTTGCCCTGGGTTTTTTCTCCATTAGTTGGGTTGCCCACCCCTCGCTGTGGCACTGCTTGGGCACATCCCTGCTTGGTCATGGATAAAGAAGAAGAAGCTGTGTCTGTCAATAAGCATAGGAGAAAACAGGATTTTTTGTTACTTACCGTAAAATCCCTTTTCTCTGAATTCATTGGCAGACACAGTACCCACCCCTCTATGGTGTTTCTCCTTTGACACTGCTTTTGACTGGAGGCCTATAGCAGAGAGAGGGTTTTATGCCCAGAGGGATCTGCCCTAAGGAGGTGCCAAGTTTTTTTTCTGCCTAGTTTCCTACTTCTGTAGGTGGGGCTATAAAACCCCATTTGGTCATGGATAAAGAAGAAGAAGCCGTTTCCGTCAATGAACTCAGAGAAAGGGATTTTACAGTGAGTAACAAAACATCCCGTTTTTACAGACAGTACAATAATCCAATTTCATCATAAAACCCAAGAACACATACAGTATGCTCTGTGCAGTGTGACAAGTAACATATGCTGCATGGGGTCCATGTCATCAGATTAACTGTGTTCTTTACTGTAGCATGACAAGTCATCATTAAAACTAAAAAGACTGTAGATGAAGTATTACCATTTAGTGACTCAAAACATGAAAAATGAAAGCTTTCCTAATTCATTAGGTGTATTCAATATGCCCTGTCAGACTTTATATTGAATTATGGCATAGTATCTATCACTTTATATTTTCTAGTTCAGATAGTATCACTTTAATTCCAGTCCAGAGGGTATCACCTGCATCCCAATCCAGATGTTCCATAAAAATCTGCTTTTCCTTTAGCAGTTTGCAGAGTAAATTTACACATTTAAAGAACAAATGTGATAAAGTGATAACAGGCTGCTGCTGCAATCAGTTACCAAATACTTGCAAAAATTAATATGGCCATGCTGAATTAAATTGCACAAATAAAAACATGTCTAACTTGGTGAATTTGATTATAGTGAATTCTTAGTGTACAGTGGAGTAATCTTTGGTTAATCTGTGGCCCATGTGCAATGAATAAATATTTAAAATAGTACGAGAAGGTTCTGATTAGCTCTTGGAAAATGTCTTTTATTTTTGATTTGAAGAAAGCTTATGTATGAAAAGTGCACCAACAGGAATGTCTGTGTTCGTGCACATAGCAACCAAAGGAAAAACCGCTCGTTCGCCCTCTGGTGCTTTTATCCACAGGCCTATAATGGTAAACCCATGCTTCCTGAACTGTAAAAGTGATTCCCTAGTACTTAACCATCATGAAGATATAGATGGCAAATTTTACTAGCACCTAACCTCGTTGTGGCTAACGACTGAGGTTCAAATTTGATCATATTGACCAAGTGAAACAATATGGCCACATGGGGTGTCTGCCTTTGTGCAGGGGACCAAAACCACATAGTACTTCACCCCAAGTTGGCCATGGAGTATGGAAGATGACTATACTAAGAATTATTATGATCATTTAATGATAATATTTATGTTATTTAAAGCAAATATTCACAATATTTTCGTAAAAATGTCAATAAATCGAAAATATATTTTAAAATAAAAAATGAAAATGCCTAACTTTGTGTTTTTTTATTTTTTTTTTTTTTTTACAGCGGTGACTTGCAGGTGACTGGCAGTGCTCACACCGTTTTCAGCACTGCTCAGAAGGCAGTGGGAAAGGATAATTTTACCCTCATTCCTGAGGGGACAAATGGTATTGAAGAAAGGATGTCGGTCATCTGGGACAAGGCAGTGGTAAGAATCCATAAGTTGCTTCTCCTCCTGTCAAATATAGTACATGAAGTTATATACAAGTGGTCATGCAGACAGAAAATTAAACAAAATCCCTCCCAAATTGATACAGAAAGTGTATTCCTGCCTGTGTTGATGTACAGGAGATTGACATTCTACTTTATCAGCACAAAAAGTAAAAGAAAATCTTAAAAGAGATACAAATAGCAAAACGTTTTCAAGACTGACAGATACTTCTAAGGACCTTAGCATTTCTGTTGGCCTTGGGATATCCCAAAGCGAGTTTTACTGAATAATATAATGGCACACTGGACAATTGGTTACAACTTTGCAGTGATACAAATAGAATTTGGTACACATTTATATTAGAAAATAATTATATTTTTTTCCTTTAGGCTACAGGCAAAATGGACGAGAACCAATTTGTTGCTGTCACCAGTACCAATGCTGCCAAGATCTTCAACGTCTACCCCCAGGAAGGGGAGAATAGCTGTGGGTTCAGATAGTGACCTGGTTATCTGGGATCCCGATGCAGTAAAAATCGTTTCTGCCAAAAGTCATCAATCTGTAAGTCAAACTTGAAATGTATGGAAGATAGGATATTTGATAGGAAGGATGTATGACCTGTAGCTATAGAGCACGGGGTGAAATAAAACATCGTTACAGTGTTGGTTTCTAAGGTGGTAAACATTGGTGATCTAATTGGATGACAACATCTTTTGGATCTGTCCAGCAGAGGAGGTGGGAAGCCAACGGTGTCAGGGCCAGATAATGAAAGTGAATATACCAAAACCTCAATATTGGACAATAATGTTATATGACATAATGCACAGGAAATAATACAACAAAAAGCATTTATATATTAAAAAATATATAAAATAAAGAAGAATTATGAAAATCACTAAAGGTATTGTGCTCAAAGTACATTTCACATTTGTTAGTACTTTTAAAGCCACAGTCTACGCAAAAATTATGTCTCTATGTAATATTTTCCAACTCTGTTCTAGCCGCCTGGGAGTTTTGGGTGTTCCATAGCATCTGTGTGGGGGGGTTTTCTGCATCTCCTGGAGCATTCTCCATAATATAAAATACAAAATCCAACAGGAAATATGGGGCCCCATTATAATAGATGCAGCAGGTGTGCAGACAATCAGGAGCGCTATGAAACAATCAGATGGTTAAACTCTGTTACCTTCTAATAAAAACAGAAATATACATTTGCCATGCACTGACCCTTTGAAGAATGTTTTTGGTTTCTTGGATCTCCTTCTGTTTGTAGTCATGTAGCCTTTGTGACAAGCTAGTAACATCATCTGATCAAAAATGCCTTAAAGTGGCTCATGGGACCATATGAAATTTTAAAGACTCATTTCTATCTACCCTTTATAGGGTATAGCACACATTTTGCCATGTTATTATGGTGTTTTGCATTGCAGTGCAATTCCTCCACACACTACTATAGTAGCAGACAAAACAGCTGCACTGCAGTGTACCGAAATGCAACTGCACTATAAAAACACATAGTAAATAGGCCAGAATTGATTTTGTAGTAGTAGATTATGGGGTTGATTTACTAAAACTGGAGAGTGCAAAATCTAGTACAGTTGTGCATGTTAGCCAATCAGCTCTTCTAACTTCAGCCTGTTCAATTAAGCTTTGGCAAGAAACCTAGAAGCTGATTGGTTTCTATGCAGAACTGCACCAGATTTTTCACTCTCCAGTTTTAGTAAATCAACTCCCATGTGTAGCAGGCCATTTGTGTCTGAAGATAGAGCATAGCAGAAATTCTTTTATAAAGTTAGTGATCCAGATTTTCTTTGGTTTTACACTATTTCACATACAGTGCTCAGCATAAATGAGTACACCCCAGCAGATATGTCAGAAAACCTTACTTTCTTTTCAGAACCAACATTTTCTATGGGACACTATACTACAAAATACTCCAATAAATGCAGGCCATTGATCGCAAACAAGATTTGTTAATTTGCACACACAAAAAAGTATTTTTTCTAACAAATTCATTCAAGACCATGTTGCAAAAATGAATGCACTCCAGTGAAACTCTTAGGAGCACAGCTACATTTTAGACAACAAAATCCTAATTTACAGAAGTTCAACTACAGGTGAGTCTAATTATTCATTAAACAGGTGTCCAGCAGACAGTTGATTATAATAGGGTACTTAACAAAGAAAACCCCTTCCCACTTCATGCTGTCAGCAATGGCACCACATGGAAAAGAAATGTCACAAGATCAGCAAAGCTTTACTTATCAGTCAGAATACTGTAGCAAAAGTGATACAAAAATTTAACAAAGATGGAACTGGAACCATCTCACAGAGACATCCAGGCCATCCACGGAAGTTAACACCTTGACAGGAGGGTCTTCTGATAAGAAGAGTTGAAGAAAATTGCCATGCGTGTTCATTGCAGTTAGCTAAAGAAGTAGAAAGCCAAACTGTGGTGATTGTTTCCCGTGACAAAATACAGCGTACACTGCAGAGAAATAGCATGCATGGGTGTTGTCCACAAAGAAAGGCTCTCCTAAAGCCCATGCACAAAAAAGCCCATCTAGAATTTTCCAGGGCCTATAGTGAAAAAGAATAAGACTACTGGGACTCTGTATTCTGGAATAATGAGACCAAGTTAAATGTTTTTGGAAATGATGGCTTCTAAACTGTATGGCGTCGCAAAGGTAAGGAGTACAATGAAAAATGCATGGTGCCTACAGTGAAACATGGTGGTGGCAGTCTCCTACTGTGGGGCTGCATGAGTGCTGCTGGTGTCGGGGAGCTTCATTTCATTGATGGTATCATGAATTCCCAGATGTACTGCTCTATATTGAAAGAGAAGATGCTACCATCACTCCATGCCCTTCGTTGTTGTGCACTTTTCCAACATAACAATGATCCAAAACGCACATCTAAGGCCACTGTTGCATTTCTGTAGAAGAACAGGGTGAGAGTGATTCAGTGGCCAAGTATGTCTCCTGATCTGAACCCAATTGAACACCTATGAGGAATTCTGAAGAGACAAGTTTACATCACTCTCCATCCAGCATGCAGGCTCAAAAAAGAGGTCATTCTTGAAGAATGGAAGAAGGTAGATGTTGCAATATATCACCAAGTTGTTCATTCCATGCCTAGAAGACTTGATGCTGTCCTTACAAATCATAAAGGTCATACAAAGTACTAGATGTAGTAGTTTTTGTTGTGGGATGTATTCATTTTTGCATCAACTAATTTGAGTAAAAATTAAGATTTTGCAATCTAAGTTATATTATTAACCTTACTTTCTTGTAATGAGCTAAACAAGTGTTCTATAAAACTCAGATTTGCCAAAATGTTGGAAATTGTTCTTGTATTCATACTTGCTTTTCAAAAAGGGGTGCTCTCATTTATGCTGAGCACTGTACATATGGCATGCACATATTTATTCAGTAGAGATTTAAAAGGATTTTATATACAAAAGTATAAAGTTATTTCACCAATACCAGGATTCTGAATGTACAAACCCATGGACAGCCCCTGAAAACATCACATACAATCATACTCTTATAAAGCATGTTACAACCGAGTCATGGTAAATTAAAAAAAAAAAAAATCCAAACTATTTTATGATTTGTGTTTTAATTTTATTGTAACCATATGATTGTCTGTTGTATATGAGTATCTAGACACCAGTTAAAATTTCTGTACAGTTAGCATTAGAAGCAGTACATTAAAGTGTGGGTGGATAGCATAGTATTGGTGGAAACTTAGAATAAACCTTTGTATCATGCCTTGGTATCTTTCCTAGGCTGCAGAGTATAATATCTTTGAAGGCATGGAACTCCGAGGAGCACCACTTGTGGTTATCTGCCAAGGCAAAATCATGTTTGAGGATGGCACCCTTCATGTGACCCAGGGAACAGGGCACTTCATTCCTTGTACACCTTTCTCTGACTATGTCTACAAGAGAATCAAAGCCAGGACTAAGGTAAGACATAGAGGTCAAAGTAACCAAGTTAAAATGAGTAAATGTGATTTTAAGAGCACCAGTACAAAAATACAGAGCTGTGTAAAACTTGAATTTACTTTTATTTTACAAAGAATACATCTAGGCATAGTAAAGAATAGCCTTTACCCATTCTGTACTCTTTATATTATACACTAGGATGTTGGCACCTGATTTGGACTCAGGTCACACCTTATATTCTGTGTAATATCAAGATGTTGGAGGTCAACAGGGAACAGTGGGAGACCCAGTGCCTGTATTAATGTGGTAGCTCAGAGCACACAAGGAAGGACTACATTGCTTTTTATTATTTTTAAGTTGAATATTGTTCATTAATATGAGACTAAACCAAATGATGCCAGCAGTCATCAAAGAAAACACTAATATTTCCAGGAGCGATAACAAGCTTTTTGCCTAAGACTCATGTATGTTTTTTGCTAAAGAGCAGCTATTGTGCAGTGTACAAGCCTCATAAAGTAAACAAAAAAATAATTTATCTCCTCTGCCTGAGCCAAATCCTCCTTAATTTTTGTCCCAAATGTTCCCCCCCCCCAGACGCTGGAGTTCACAGTGAGCGTTTAGGGAGGGGTTTAGCAATAAGAAGCAGTGCTGTCAATCCAGAAAGCAGTGGGCAGGACTGGGTGTGGTCAAGTGCTGATTGACAAGCTACAGGTTTGTGAATCAGCAGTGACAATGCTGATAGCCACAACTCCTGCAATATTTTTTCATCAACAGTTATATGTAGGGCTTTGCAGGGGGATTAAGAGAAATTGGTAAGTGCAGATGCCCTTATAATTAAATGCTGCAGCACATATTTTTAGGAGTCCATAGTTTTTCTTTAACTGTTGTCAAGCAAAGCTCTAGGACCAGACAGTGTATTAAGAAAAAATGTGTGATTATTTTATTTTGTTCTGGTCTGGCTGCACTACGAGAGAAAGATTTCTCTTGAAAAAGTCTGGTGAGGTGTACACTTCTATATGTAATGACACTTTTACTTTTACTACAGACACTAGGCAGTGATAATGGGTGTATTGTAGCACTTGCAGCAATCAAGCAGAAATTATAATTGAACTGACTACAAAAGACTGAAACCTGGAGCTTATGGTTACTGTATAGTGCACCGATATTGTGCATTTGTTTTTAAAGAAAGCATGGTATTATTTAGAGCAGAAGACACACCTATAATCCATCACTATTCTTTTCGATGTAAGATTTATTTAATCTGTGTTATTATAGGATGATTTATGCATGGAATAGTATACTATACTGTGATTTTGATATCTTTCACATCATTAAAGAATACAGCTTTGAATATCACAGTAACAACTATGTATTAATAGCTTCAGGAAAATTACCTGATGAAAGTCTGTGAAAAGTAGCTTTTCAGATTCTTGCATTCATTTTCTAGCCTGCACTGGAAGAATAGGAGAAAGATTATGATTGACTGCAATGAGCACTTTTACACACATGATTTATGGTACCTACAGACATTAGAGAATGTTTAGCCAATGGCTGGATGAGGGAATATTCAGGATTGTAGGCTTTGTCTGATTTTGCTTGGTGGGGAAAAATTAAGTGGCTAGGATACATTTTCTACACAAATTGCTGTTTTCCCCCATAACAGGCACATGTCTGCAGTACTCCCCTCCGTTCTCCACAGGCAAGTTATCCTGTCAATAACTGTTTATAGTAATGATCATTTGGTGGCCAGATTGTATATGCACAGCTGGATGCTGTCTAGTGTCTATAGGTACTGTCAGTTAACAGCAGTAGTTGAAGGCCATTGTCCTTACAAATATGTTATACTGTATACCATTTCATTGTTGAAATATTATTCTGTCTGTTACTAGATTGCAGAGCTACATGCCGTTCCTCGGGGTATGTATGATGGGCCTGTCTTTGATTTGTCATCCACTCCCAAGGCTGGTATTCCTGCAGGGTCTGCTAAAGGCTCTCCAACAAGGCAGACTGCACCAGTCCGAAACTTGCACCACTCTGCATTTAGTCTAGCTGGTAAGTGTACAGTCATCTACATTCTGTACCTAGATCTTAGATATCAAAATATAAATTGCTAAGGTTTCCAGCAACACCAACCAATCACATTCAAGATTTTGTTAGGATTGCTACACTGACTACCAATATCTGATGTCTAGTTGCATTTTAAATTGGGCTTAATACTCACTGTTAGAAGTCAACATAAATCTTTATATTGCAACCTATTGATGGTAGGTTGCATTTGTCTGTTTAGTAACGTTTACAATAGAAAAGTTGGATGTTTTTAAAACTGCTAGGAAATTTCCTGAGTGTATGAGCAGCATAAATGCTTTACCAAGACATCATACAGAAATAGGATCAAAGACAAACTCTGTGTGAGTGAATTAGAAGCACTGCTGCATAGAATATTACAGACTTGGTGCATGGGGGATTTAATATGGTTGTCCCATTTATTATCACATTTAGAGCATATCTTCCTGAACAGTTTGTAAGCCATAAGACATATGGAGTGCAGCAGTGGTGCAAGTGAACAACATTGATGTCTTCACAAACAGTGAGAAGCTAGAAGTTGTTATTCAACCACAAGCACCGTCACCATCATTTTGCTTTCAAGTTAAATATTCATTTAATGTAGTATGGATTAGGGATTCTTGAAGTGGTATTAAATGCACCTTTTTTTCTTTCTTTCTTTATTAAACCAGCCCCAAGATGGTTTAGGCCATAATGTGCTAGTATGCACAGCATATTAGCACATTATGGCAAATTTACCTGTTAAATGAAACTCTCCAATACTAAGCTGTCACCACTGCTGCTAGTCACAGGTGCTTCCATCTCCACCAGATTTTCCTCCAGGGTTCTCTCTCTCTGGCTGCTTGAATGGCCAGGCCATGATGATGTCACTCCCGTGTGTGTGCACGAGAGTCACTTCATCATGGCACAGAGCGAGTGCCGTAAATGTGGTCTGAAGTGTGTATGTGCGGCTCAGATTACATTACCACTGATTTTTGACAAATGTGACCTGTAAGGTCTCTTCTTTTAAAACACCTGATCTGTCAGTGGTTTTTTTGAAATTTTGACTTTAATACCGCTTTAAATGTATAATGGTACATTCAAGCCTTGCCCCCAATCTCTGCTTTTATTTGCTTTAGCAATAGAAACTCTTAACTATTACTGTCTGACAGGAGGGAAGTATTGTGCTGTACTCCTATGACCTCTTAAAGCAACAGAAAACAGCTGGTACACTTTTACTTACATGTAATCTTATAATAAAGCTTACCTGGAGGTATAAGGAATATCTTCTAAAGTTTCACCATTTAGGAAATATTCTCTGTTTCTGCAGCTAGTGACATCACTGGCAGATGCGCTCTGAAGGGACGACATACTCATGCCATCCATTAAGAGCTCTGTGCCGCGGCCGTGACTGTAATGCTAATATGCGCGCGTAGTCATCATGGCTCAGCCATTCAAACAGCCTCAGCCTGAAAACTCAGAAGGAAGACCGGGTGAAAATGGAAGCCCTGTCAGCGGTGGGGGCTTCGTTCTAAAGTATTTCGTAATGTGCTTGTATGCGGTGCATCCTAGTACATTATGACATTGCCATGCAGAAGGATTTTTTTTTCATGGTGAAAGTTTACTACCACTTTAAAGTAGGGCAAAACAGTGGGCTCATTTCACTAAGTGAAATTTCACACAGCATTACAGCATTTCACACAGCATGAACGTCAGTGGTAAATTGACACGTGTTATTTTTCAGACAAGTTATCAATCTTTTTAAAAATGCTTGTTAAATAATGAATGCATTAAGTTTATTTATTTTGCTGGATTAAATGCATTTTTTACACATTATTTTACCACAGTGGAATGTGAAACATTAGCAGTGGTATCCCTACCACTGTTAAATTTGACAGTTCCAGCTTAAAGATGTAGGGTGTAAAGGAGTGGGCACCCGACATTATCCTAACAGCTAATCACTCATCCTTGCCCTACTCATTCAGCTGTCAACCTAATGGAGAAAAAAGGCATGATGCTCCCCCCTCCCCCCAAACCCATAGCAGACCCTTATCTGAGCATGCGACCTGGTAGGCCAGAAAGGGTGTGGAGGAGGAGAGTGCCAGCACACTTCCCCTTCCGAACCATACAAGGCCACATCTCCTCAACATGAGGGCACCTTTCCCTGGTCATGTTGATGAGGACAAGGGCCTTTTCCCTGCAACCCTAGCCTGGTGGTTGTGGGGGTCTGTGGGAGGGGGATTATTGAAATTTTGAAAGCCTCCTTTAACAAGTAGGTGAATGAGTAAGGGGTATATAGTACCCTTAATAAATTACAAAAAAAAGAATGACATCACCTGGGTATCCCCACCCCTTTGGTTACTTTAGCGGCAAGGAGACCTGGAAATGTCATTTGGTGCCAGGGAAACCATTGGATCAGGGGTATCTCAACGGGCAGGTTGGCAGCCATCATTCATCATGAATAATGTGGACCTGCATTGCTGGACAGCGTGACCATGGATGTATAACCTGGGACATTTTTTTTTTAAATAATAAAGGATTTATTAAACAGTTTGGGCATTTTTATTTCTAGGTACATTTTTTTTTTTTTTTTTTTTGTGAATGAGTAGGGTACTGTGTATCCTGTACTCACAACTTGGCTAGAGTTGTGGGGAAAAAGCCCTTGTCCTCAATAACATGGTACCCCCCCCCCCCCCAAGTTGAGGGCATGTGGCCTATATAGTCTGTGGAAAGGGCTGCATGTCCACATAAGGGTCTGGGATGGATTTTCACACCATTGTATTTTTTTGGTGTTGGGTCCCCTTCACAATTCATGCCAGACTCAAAGGGCAGCACTCCCATCCAAAAGGCTGCTTTCACACTGATCCATTTTTCTTCTGCTTATGTGTTAAAAAAAAAAGTTGAAGAAAAACGTGTGGCCATGTATTCCTAGGATACTCTTCGCAGTGATCCATTGCAGGTCCAGTGCAGTTTTTAATATCCTGCTGGCTGCATATTGATCCAGGTTAGGTGTGGTAAAAAAAAAAACGCACCTCCCCATTGAAATCAATGGAAAATGCTGCAAAAATTCTTAAAAGAGCATCAAAAACACACCCGCGTTGTGTTTTGGTGTGTGCATTTTGTACGGGACATGCGATTCAATAAACGTAGCATATGCTTTTTTGCCGTAGATCAGTGTGAAAGTAGCCTAAGGTTTAAATATTCCATACTGTTGCCCTGCCTGCTAGTGGTAGCTGCTTTTGGACATCACTGTTGATGCTCCCACACAGGTTGCGCATTTTTGTTGGTAAAATAATGTGGTAATATGATATTAATATTGAATAGGGTAATAGTTGCACTACTCTGTGTCAGTTCACTGTATAATGACAGTGAAGGGTCAGATTGTCTTTTTGCTTTTTACCTCTAAGTGCCTTCTACAGCTTTGATGTCTGAGCTTTTTAGTGTGAATCATAGCTGACTATACACAACTGGGGTAGGATTTACAAAACCTACGTCAGGAGTATATATTTTACTCTGTCACCTTTCAAACAGTATTGGAAAAACAGTGAAATCCTCCATATCTAGGACACCTTTTAGTAATAGAAAGATTCTAATTTGCTTGGATCCTTCTTAACGTCATTAGGACTTTCACTTCATTGTGTACAGCACTCCAAACATGGAAATACAGTGGTTGCTGGAATGGATGTTTTCCAATAAGCATCTTCACTAGTAGGTTGAGATATAAGTGAAATCTGGAAATTATAGTTTTGACAAACATAGTTTGTCCTAAACAAGGGAAACTTGATCACATAGAATTGGGGGGTTTGCAGTTATTTTATGTTGTTACATTGTCTCTTCATTGTTTCCGCTTTGAACATTTTATATTCATATTTGCAGGAAACCAGGGAGACGAGAGTGGCGTTCGTTCTGGAAGCAGGAGAATCGTAGCTCCCCCCTGGTGGACGTTCTAATATAACATCTCTCAGCTAAACAGCTAAGAAACCTAAATGAGTGGGAAAACCAAAATGGTACAATTGGTGTTTCAGACAGGCAAAAAAATTTAAAAATTAAATAAAAAAATTAAAATTAAAACCAAGTCCAATCTGAAGATTTGTTTACCTTCAGGCCTTACATTTTACAAATGCTTTTTGCTACCTAGCTTTAAAAGTGTTGCTGTTTTTGTTTCTTCATAATTGCATAGCCTTAATTTCAACCCAGTGCATGCAGTTCAGATGATGACAGTTACCAGAGGGTGCTGATCAGGTTACATTCTTATGTGGTTATTTTATATATTATGTTTTTTTTGTTTTGTTTTGTTTTTTTTTTAATAAGGCATTGAAAACAAACATCTGGTGGATACAGTTAGTTGTGGAACATGATGGATCTTCCTTTATCACCAAGCTTTTCTGTTTTTATACAAGAATTGCAATAAAATGGAGGTCCCACAAAAATTGTCTGTTGTTTGTGTGATGAGGTTTACAAATGGAGACAACCCACAGAATATGATGAAACTCTAAGCAACAGAAGAAGAACAGAAAATCGTCCACGCATTGCAAAGTCTTTTTTTTTCTGAAATTAAAATGAGCATAACAAACACAGATCATATTTGACCCCTTTACAAAAGCAATACACATACATGAGGCATCCAGGAACTGGGCTTTAACCCTGGGTGGCACATGTATTTGTTCTCGTATCTGTGCTCAATTGTACAATCCCAGCATCGAGACCAAGCTGTCAGTGACAGTATGTTGGATCCTGATCACATGATCACTGTGATAGCCTGATTGGCTATCACAAAGATCATTCAGTCTGCAGCTGGCGCTTTTGTTGTCTCTCCTCTGAAGAGGACTTCTCTGCTAGGGAGGAGCAAAAGATATCTATTCCTCCTCACCATAGAAGTCTGTTGAAGAAAAATTTTATAAAAATGAACTAGTTCAATGCTTTGCCTAGCTTAGCGAGTGTAGGTGTCAGTGTTAATGGCATTGTGGGTGTCAGTGTTAGTAACAGTGTAGGTGGCAGTGCCAGTTAGTGGCAGTGTAAATATCAGTTAATGGTTGTGTTGCAGTGAAAGTGTCACAGGGTTAGTGTCAGTGTGTTTTAGGTAAAAAAAAAAAGCACTTTTATATTTTGTCAATATATTTATATTGTCAATGCTAGTGTTCGTGTCAGTATGTTTAGGTAGGACATAAAAAAACCCCAAAAAACAAAATATTTACTTGGTTTCTTGGCCCTACTATGGGTACAAGGAACAAAATCACACACATATGTAATATTGCCGCAATCATCAGAGGTAGGAGAATTTATTTTGCATTTTTTTTTATGGTGGTACATGGTATCTGAATACAAATATATAGCTACATTTAAATATAATGTTTATTTTTACACTATTTTGGGCCAAGTTTCCTTTGACAATAGAAAAAAAAAATTTCAGGAGACATCCATTAACATGTCCAATCAAATGAAAGCCTAATCTTTCCTGAATAACAAGGTGTAATCCACCTGGATACACTAAGTAGTTGCAATGAAATGTACAGTTTTACTAACACATGTCAAAGTTATAAAATTGGACCAGGGCATTAAGGTTTGTTTTTACCCTACTCATGAAGGTGTTAAAGTAAGATTGTTCAAACCCTGCTCATGAAGGGGTTAAAGTAAGATTGTTCATTAGTATGTGCAGTGATTTATTCCAGTCCACTGAAACCCTGCAATATAATTACATCAAAACTATGACAGTCATACAGTACAGCAGGAGATATGAAACAACACATAAATAGCAGTAAAGGCAAGTAAACCAATGAATGTTTGGAATGATACACAAGCCCATATGACAATAGTCTATGGTAGCTCTAGCAATAGACTTACCTCCTTTAATTATTAACCAGTCCTAACATTGCAGAAACCCCAACCAGAGAAGCAGGGTATATGTCCAACCATAAAAATCAGTCAAGGGAGATTTATGAATTGTGGTCATGATGATTACATGGCATACATTAATTTTTAACTTGCTACAAAGATATCAAGCAATATTTAGCCATCTAGCAGGCACCTGGGTTGTTGGAAATATAGATGGTGGTTTTATCTGACTAGATTTCAGGTTTCCTGGGACTAGGTAATCAGGGGCTTAAAATGTGTTTCTGTGTGCCTTCCCCTGATGTGTCTAGCATTGATACCAGCACGTGTTTATATGAATTGTAATGCACAGCGCAATGCGCTTAAGATTGCATGTAAACATTTGTCAATATGCATTTTTATTTATGTCAATAAGAAAGGCTTCAAACAAAAGGTACATTATGTTTTCAGCCAAACTCTTTCACTTGATACCATTGTGGGCAAAACCTTGCAAAGCAGCATCCTTTTAGGCTGTCATATGATCTCAGCTCAAGGTAAGATGTAGGTGTAGAGGGAAGGTATTAGAAAGATATCAAGAGGAGGTGTTCAGGAGGTGCTTGTAGACATAAAATGTATGTTATGCTAAGCATGATACCCATAGCTTATACTGTACAGCCATAGGTGTCTGCACTGGGGGGCAGGTATGCCTGGGCACACCCTAATCACCCAATGTGCATTAGCATTATCGCTCTGTGTGACAATGGGAAAGATCTCCCATTGACTGGCTCTGCCATAAGAAAAGTCCTTCCACACTTCTTTCACTGTGCCGGTGGGGAGACGGGAAAGAACATCCCACCGAGAGGCTGTGCTTATAAGAGAAGCGTGGAAGCATTTCTCTTTCGCTCTCCTTGTATGCAAGGAGATAATGTGTTGGCGGGGAGATGGGAAAGATCTCCTCTCTGACCAGAATAGTGTTGCAAGGGAGATTGATACTCTCTTTACAACCAATCAAGATGCCTGGCAGGAGCTCACGTGACCCTACACCAAGCTCCCTGATTGGTTGGAAAGCAAGTATCACGGGACTTCAGCAAAGTGAGGTAAGAAAATGATGATGGGGTGAGAATTCCAGATCCTTTACCCCCATATTCCCTTTCAAGTTGCTCCAACCTTTATTCAATACATACAGATGCAGTGCAAATATCATACTGTCACGTACCTGGTGGCGGAGCCTGACGTGGAGATGAAGGCGTCCTCTTACACCTCTCGCTCTGTGCCCCTGGCAGAACAGACAGGAGGCACAAGTGCCTGGCAGGTCTGCAATGTCAGCTGGCAGGTGGGTAGTCTACAGTTGTGTTCAAAATAATAGCAGTCAGACATCACTAACCTGATCAATCACTGTTTTTGGTAGAAATGATATTTCTACATGGCAAATTATTTACTAGCAGGTGCAGTAGAGTAATAGAAATCCAACAGACCCAACAGTCATGACATGCATGCTGCTGATTCTGTGTAATTGAATCACTAATTGAAAGGGGCATGTTCAAAATAATAGCAGTGTGGAGTTCTATTAGTGAGGTCATTCATTCTTTGAAAAACAGGGCAATTATTGCCCTTATTTAACCATTTCAATACCGTGCAATTTTACACCTTCCTGCCCAGGCCAGTTTTCACGTTTCAGCGCTCTCACATTTTGAATGACAATTGCGCAGTCATACAACACTGTACCCAAACTAAAATTTTAACATTTTCTTCACACAACTAGAGCTTTCTTTTGGTGGTATTTAATCATCGCTGGGGTTTTTATTTTTTGCTAAATTAACAAAAAAAGACCAAAAATTTTGAAAAAAAAAACACGTTTTTCTTTGTTTCTGTTATAAAAGTTTACAAATAAATAATTGTTCTTCATAAATTTAGGCCGAGATGTATTCTACTACATGTCTTTGGTGAAAATTACCCAAATTAGGATGTATTTTTTAGTTTGTAGGAAAGTTATAGAGTTCACAAACTATGGTATAGATCTGAATATTGATCAATCCTGAAGTACTGACGGCCAATCTAATTTCTTGAAGTCCAAGAATGTCAGAATAGTACAGATATCCCCCAAATGACCCCTTTTTGCAGAGTAGACAGTCCAATGTACTTCATAAGAGGAATGGCGAGTTTTTTGAAGTTGTATTTTTTTTGTCATAATTTTTTTTGGAAAATGAAAAAATTAAAAAAATTATTTTCACAATTTGTTTTTTTTTACATACTGTCACCAGTGCAGTACAGCGTCATCATATAACTGGCATGGCGGTGAACAGGGACACTGACTGGTGACAGTATAAAAAAAATATATATATTTTTTTTTTATTATTTTTTTTATTATTTTTTATTTTTATTACATTTTTTTTTATTTTTTTTAAGATTTTTTTTTTTTATATTTTACTATGACCAAAGTAGTACAATGTTACCATAGTAACATTGTACTACTTTGGAGAAGTGATCAGTATTTTTTTTATTTTTTTTTATTTTTTACACAATTTGCTTATAGCAAAGAATTACTTTGCTATAAGCAAGCATTTACCAGAATGAAATCGATTCATTCAGGTTTTTTTTTTTTTTGTGCTTAGCTGTGATTTGGTCACAGCTAATCACGACATGTGCATGTGACCTGCTGTGACCATTCACAGCTAGGCACTAGTATACAATGGATGGCATGAATGAAGCCATCCATTGTATACAACTGTCATGTGACCTGCTGTGATTGGTCACAGCAGGTTACATGGCACCAGCAACGGGAGCCGGTACTCGGATCTGTCATCGGCCGTGTCCGAGGTACACGGCCGGTGACAGATCGCGCTGCTGCGCTGCTCTGCAGTTGCGCGAACTGAGCATGTGCGGGAGCACGCCAAAATGGCGTGCACCCGGCATGCAGAAGCACTTTTGCCGCCGCCAAACGGCCATTGGCCAGGCAGCAAATGGTTAAGGAAGGAAGGCAGCAAATGTACATGCTGGTTACAGTGCATTTCTCTCTGAAATTCTGAGGAAAATGGGTCGTTCCAGACATTGTTCAGAAGAACAGCGTACCTTGATTAAAAAGTTGATTGGAGAGGGGAAAAACATATAAAGAAGTGCAGAAAATGATAGGCTGCTCAGCTAAAATGATCGCAAATGCTTTA